GGCGCTAACATAGAACACGCGAACGTGAATGGCTGGACCGCAGTAATAGTAGCAGCTGGTAACGGTCATACGGATACGGTCACAGCGTTATTAGATGCGGGAGCTAACATAAAACACGCGGACGTAAATGGCTGGACCGCAGTAATAGTAGCAGCTGGTAACGGTCATACGGATACGCTCACAGTGTTATTAGGTGCGGGCGCTAACATAGAACACGCGGACGTGAATGACGGCACCGCAGTAATAGTAGCAGCTTTTAACGATCATACGGATACGGTAACAGCATTGTTAGGTGCGGGCGCTAACATAGATCACGCGGACGTGAAGGGCAGCACCGCAGTAATACTAGCAGCTGGTAACGGTAATACGGATACGGTAACAGCATTGTTAGGTGCGGGCGCTAACATAGAACACGCAGACAATGGTGGCAGGACCGCAGTAATAGCAGCAGCTTTTAACGGTCATACGGATACGGTCACAGCGTTGTTAGATGCGGGCACTAACATAGAACACGCGGACAAGGCTGGCTGGACCGCAGTAATAGCAGCAGCTGTTAACGGTCATACGGATACGGTCACAGCTTTATTAGATGCGGGCGCTAACATAGAACACGCGAGCGATGATGGCTGGACCGCAGTAATAGCAGCAGCTGATAGCGGTCATACGGATACGGTCACAGCGTTGTTAGATGCAGGCGCTAACATAGAACACGCGAGCGATGATGGCAGGACCGCAGTAATAGCAGCAGCTACTTACGGTCATACGGATACGCTCACAGCGTTGTTAGGTGCGGGCGCTAACATAGAACACGCGGACGATGATGGCAGCACCGCAGTAATAGCAGCAGCTGCTAGCGGTCATATGGATACGGTCACAGCGTTGTTAGATGCAGGCACTAACATAGATCACGCGACCGTAGATGGCGTGACGGCGTTGATGCATGCTGCCGGTTTCGGTCGTACATCGTGTGTCATGAAGCTACTAGCAGCAGGAGCGCGGGTGGAGCGTCGCGATAACGATGGCAGGACGGTGTTAGTGTGGGCTGCCGACGGCGGTGACGCAAGCATGGTGACGAAATTATTGGATAAAATAAGGGCGTGGAATCCTGAGGACGTGCAAACTGCGTACCAGGTGGCCGTAGATCGCGCCCGTGACGTCACCATCAACGACGGCTATAGAGAATCCGCCGGCGCTATACTGGCGCACCAATACTTTGTCAGTGAGCTGCCCGACCATTGTTATTGTGACATAGAACGTAAGATATCACGCTGTAATGTCAGTGGTGTGACGTCACTGTCTGATATATGGGAGACGCCAGGCTTGGGAAGATTAGAGCATCAGGGGGAATGCGATCAAATGCGGGACGCCGTGCTAGACCTCATGGAGCGAGTCTGCAAGGAGATGAAAGTCTTAGACAGTGACTTCTCCTGCACGCCCATTCTGATAGGCAGCACGGCNATTAGGTGCAGGCGCTAACATAGAAGACGCGGACGTGAATGGCATGACGGCGTTGATGCATGCTGCCCGTTTCGGTTATACATCGCTCGTCATGAAGCTACTAGCAACAGGAGCGCGTGTGGAGAGTCGCAGTAACGATGGCAAGACGGTGTTGGCGTGGGCTGCCTACGGCGGTCACGCAAGCATTGTGACGGAATTATTGAATAAAATAAGGGCGTGGCATCCTAATGACGTGCAAACAGCGTACCAGGTGGCCGTAGATTGCGCCCGTAAGATCACCATCAACGACGGCTATAGAGAATCCGCCGGCACTATACTGGCGCACCAATACATTGTCAGTGAGCTGCCCGACAATTGTTATTGTAACATAAAACGTAAGATATCACCCTGTAATGTCAGTGGTGTGACGTCACTGTCTGATATATGGGAGACGACAGGCTTGGGAAGATTAGAGCATCAGGGGGAATGCGATCAAATGCGGGACGCCGTGCTAGACCTGATGAAGCGAGTCTGCAAGGAGATGAAAGTCTTAGACAGTAACTTCTCCTGCACGCCTATTCTGGTAGGCAGTACGGCCAACCGCACAAAAACTGGTCTGCCAGACGAATACGACTTCCTATTCGAAATCGATCAGGAAACATTAATTATTGAAAACACAAAATCTAATAGAGCTGGCTTTGTAACAATTCGCGAAGAAAACTCAGACCAGCATATTTCGGTAAATCTAAAGGGAAATTTTGTTAATCTATTGTGCCAGGCTGTATCGAATGTCATGAAAAACGGAGAGCATTTATTCAAAACACAAAGATCACATATTTTAGCATGGAACAAAGTGTGCACGCAATTGAATATGAAATTTGTTGGCGGCGGAAATTTTAAATTTCTACCTATATCGGTAGATTGCACGCCGGCAGTACGAATCTCGGGCAAGCCAGCTGGCGCAACAAGCTTTCCTGGTGACCACTACCACGTGGTACCCAAGCCTGGCGTGGACTCAGATAATGCGCACTGGTCCATCTGTACGGCAGTAGCGGAAAACAATATGATCAGAAGTTTCCATCCAGTTTATCGCCAGGCTCTAATCACAGCAAAGGCAGTTCTTGATTGTTATTATAAGTGTGGAAACATATTGAATAAGGATGAGTTGCTTACAGACAGTGACGTTACATATTTACGTGCAGTTAACATAGACGTTATTCAGCTGTATATCGCCACTCGCTTTTGGCCTAGGAAACTGATCGACTCCTACCTCCTCAAACTTGCGCTGCTTCATGTCGCATCACTCAATCCAGCGGATCCGTTGCCGTTCCCAGCAATCGTGCGTAAAATATTTAAGTATGTACAATCGTGTACAAATAATCGCAACATATATATGCCGCATCCTTATATTAATAATTTCAATGTTTTGGCCGAGGACTGTGGTAAAACAATCTCACACGTGCCGGTCGCGTATTTGCGTGAGCGGCACGTGGATGAGTTACTGGGACGTCTTGATAGCGGTCCGCTGGTGAGTGAGAGCGGACTTATAAAGCTCAGCGCTGAGGAGCTGTGGGAGAAGATGGAGGAGTCGGTCAGTGAAGCGGAGCCTAAATATGTAGCATTACTCAAAAGCGCGTTTATTAAAGCTTGGAACCGACTGTCTGACACCTGCGATAGATAAAACCGTTTAGAGATTACGGACTGAATGCAGCTTTCAAACCTTCAGCTGTCTCTGACTGTGCATTAATTAATTAATAATTAGTTTATTTATTCATTCAATTATTCATACTTTTATTTATTTATTTATGTATCACTTGCTGTAAATTATTGTGATATCACAAGTAATTAATGAATTGCCTGAATTGATATGAAATTAATATGTATTTTTCAAATAAATGAATGATAGACTTTCGTGTAATTTCAAAAATTTTCTACATGCAATATATTTGTCTTGGATTCTGTTTTGATAATGAAGTACTTGCACACTTTACATGGCAGCAATCTACTTGTAATCAAATAAATCTTTCACGGCAATGCCGTTGCCATAGCGATGCAAATAGAGTTGCTCTAGAATTTCGCATGTGAGCCGGTCGGTCTCCTTTCCTTCTTTCTTCTGCCATTGCTAACCGTAATAATTTAAAAGTTCGCAGGAATCGGGTTTACTGCTGAAGTTCGTTATAGCTCGCGTTTTATATTCTTCAGAACGAACTACGTACACGAATACAAAACCTACAATATATTTAATATCATTGTGTATACACAGAATTAAGAAAGCATTAACTAACTGCGAACATTCAGTCAATCAATCAATCAATCTTTCTATCTATCAATTTACCTATCTACCTATCAATCAATCTATCTATCAATTCATGCAACCATCCATCCATTAATGCTTCTATGTGTGTATGTTAGTGTGTGTGTGTACGTGCGCGCATGCGTGCGTGCGTGCATATCTTTGTGTGTGTGCGTGCGTGCGTGCGTGTGTGTTTGCGTGCCTGGGGCAGCGTAAAGCCACGTGCCAAAATGTGTTTTGGGAAGGTGGCTGCCAATAATCATGTCATGTATTCACATTTCTCGTGGGGTGCGTAGAAACCGCCCCCTTCCTCCTCCTCCTCCTCTCTCTCCTCCTCATCATTTGGGGCTACGTGACCGAGCCGGGGTCGCGGGACCGGATGGCAGGTAGCCATGAGTTCATCGGGTGAGTCAACGTGAAATGACAGGTGCGATAATGCTATTGTAGCGTTGAATAAATTCAAGTCGGTTATAAAGCGAACAGTAGGATTGTCACAGGGAAAACGTTGTTTTATTTCGCGCAGCACTTTGTCGTCATAACCTGCCACGTTCTTCCTCCGCGTCCCCTTATACCTCTGGGCGTGCCCTTACCGTCGGGCGCGTCCCTTCCCGCCTCGCCGTCCACTTCAGCCATCGCCCCTATTGGTTCGGCGTCGGACATTAGTATGACGAGTGACCACCTGGTCTATCTTACGTCAGTTTGGACTGTGTCCAAACCCAACCCTTTGGCCCTTGGCTGGCTGCCAAACTGTCTCCGGTAACGTTTATTCTGCATGCGTTGCTTCGTAACAGTAGCTAATTATTTTAGCCCACTACTGCGTGCTCGCTACAATCTAACACCTTATGTGGCCTTTAAACTAATCGCCCATCT